TGCTTCAGGATTCTCATACGCAGCTGCCGTGTTATTCACATCGAATTGACCGCCAAGAAGCTCCTCAAGTACGCTGCTGTGTCGCATCTGAGCCATAAATCCAGCGAATATGAGATTCCCATTGTCTAAATAAGCCACGTAGTCCACTCGCGGTAAACAGAGACGCACATGATGCGTGACGAGGATCCTAGTCCGGCGAGTTGCGAGTTCGCCGGTTAGAGCATGCTCATACAAATGTTGCGCGGTGTGAACATCAACCGCGCTGAAGATGTCGTCCATGATTATGATGCCTGCGCGGCTGTAGAGAGCACGGGCTAGAGAGATGCGTGCTTTCTGGCCGCCGCTCAGATTCACTCCGTTCGGTCCGACCTCAGTGAGGTCACCATCTTCCAGGACTTGCAGATCTCGGACCAAAGCACATGCGAAGAGGACTTTTCCATATCGTTCCCCATTGAACGGCACCCCGAACAAGATATTCTGGCGGACCGTAGCTGCTTCTATCCACGGAGTCTGAGCAACATAAGCCGTGGCAGAGTCTATTATCCAATCTTCCCCGGGACGAGGAAGCTTATACATGCATCTAGTCGACGGCCTTTCGACTATACCTTCCAGAATTTTGCATTCGTCGAGTATTGCAGCGAGCAACAAGCTTTTGCCAGCGCCTGTTCGGCCACACACAAGGCTCAATCCATGTTCAGGAAAGTGTACAGTCAGGTTCCGCAGCACAAAGGGTGTTCCCGATGAAACATCGCTGGTTTGAGCACTGTCTGGCCAGGCGACTGTGGCGTTATCGAAGCGGATGCTGGGCGATAGTACTGTAGAAGAGTTTCTCTCAGGGGCGTCCAGAAAGTTGCTAATGCGCTTCATGCTGATCAAGGCATCCGTTGCGTTTGTGATTAACTCTGGAAGAGTAGACAAAGCAATCTCAATCGAGGTAAGAGCAGAAATCGCGGTAAAGGCAACAGATGCCATAAGTTCTCCATGGCTGATAGCGTAAACGGAGAGAGATGCTACAGACAGGAGGATTGGAGCCAGAACCCAAAGGGAAAAACATATCACATTCCACCGAAAGCTGGTCGCCTGGGCAAGTAATTCTGCATCCCTGAGTTGGTTCAGCTGTCCTTCCCACCTTTCCTCAGCCGCAGAGAACTTAATCTGTCGTATACCACGAAGGGCCTCCGTCAAAGCGATGATTTTGCGGTCACGACAGGCCATCAGATCCTTCCCTGCCTGAGTATATCTAGCCATACAGGCATGATTCAGAACCATGAGGAGGGCTAAGGTAGTCATTCCCGCCAAGAGGCTCTTCCAGCCAAGGACGTGCTGTAGGAGTCCGCAGGCGACTCCGAGTTTCATCGGCGCTAAAACACAGCTGTAGAGGAAAGTTGCAATTCCAGCAATTCGTGGCACATCCACAGCGACAAGATTTACAGCAACTTGTGTGCCTTGAGCACAGTCTTCTTTCCCGTTGCCCTTCAGATCGTCCTGACTCGATGCTATCGAGTGCAAGGCCTTGTTGAACACGACGGCAGAGAGCTGTTCGTACACTCTGATAGCAAGTTTATTAGAAGCAATCCAACCAATCCATGCCTCAAGCCATGCGGATAGACTTGTGCATATCCCCAATGCCAACACCCAGAACCAAAGGTCTGCTGTAACATCTTCCTCCCCAGAGCGTGTCTCAAGGATCTGAAGAATTTGGAGAAGGGCAAGATGGGGTCCGAACGCAAGGAAGCTCGCCGGGACTGTAAGAGCAAGCTGGTACAGCAGATGTCGGCGATTCGAGAACATAAGGACTTTCCATAACGGCGTCCTGCCTTTTCCACAGCACGAAACCTTAGCGTGTGATTGCGCGAAGGATCCTTGAAGGTTCTCTGCTCGAGTGTTAAAATCCAGCTCCGGCAGATGGTCAATGTCACCGCCACTTTTGCGAGAAACCTGTCGAATTAGGCGGTTAGTCCAACTGAACGTCAAGCGGCCTAGAAAGGACGTAGTAAGCTCCCTATCGACCAGGGTTCCATGTCGGTATACATCCGGACGTCGAGGCAGCGAGAGGCTTATGATCACGATCAGTATGGCTGCACCGATTTGCACGCCCATTGTATAAGAGTGGAGATCATCTAAAAGGCCAGTCTTGTATCTTGCGAACAGCTCCCATGCAAGGCTAGTGATGGTGACCGAAGCACTGAGCGCTTGCTTCCATCCCAGAGAGTACCGAGCCGTGGGCGAATTCTCTATCGCAAGGGCTGTTGACTGAATGAGTTGAAGAATCTAGCAAGGATGATCTTAGAACCCATGCCCGACATCAAGCATACGTGGACGTAGACAGCAGCTACTCACCCAGTGAACGATCTGTGCCCAAATGTTGAAGGAAAACATTGCTCCAGGCACAATTGCCCCCGTTAAAGCTGTTATAACCCCGCTGATGACAACGATCATAATGAACATCCTCTCAAACTTCTTCTTGCACGCGGCAATCGACGCTCGGTCCGCTTCTCCATCTTGATCGACGTAGAATTCGCAAAGATACCGGTTCCATCCATGAAAGCGCCTCAGTGCAGACTCCAGTAAGGTTTGAATGGCAGGGACCGTCAGGAGAATAACCAGAGCGGTGCTGCTGATGTCAGCTATCAGACAGAAAGCTCCCAGTGTTTGCATGTCGGCAGTCTTCGCTTAGCCACTCATTGATGCGAAGCTCAGGTTCGATTGTAGTCAGGAACAAACGCCACCGTTGCCTACATACAGACGACCTTTATCAAACATGTCGAATAGGGCAATGAACGGAGAATTAACCGTTAGATGAGGGTATGACATGTTAAGAATGCAGATCGCCCATCTGGGCTGCATATGCATCGTATCGTCATGACTGACGAGACGCAGGGAAGCAAACAAGGGAAAGAACCCGAGGAATCTCGACTCTGACTTTGGCCTCCTGAGTATGCCACTGCTATCCACATCGAATAGCTGTCGCAATTCGCAGTCGCGATAGCGCGCCGTCTGGTCAACAAGGTCAGTCTTCACACCAGTTTGACCCAGTTGCGCGTGGAACCTTACAGCGCCACCCACAGGAATGCGGCCTCGTATGTACTCATCAATCATTCAACATACAGCACTATACTAAGCCTCTCCCTTTGCATGGTCAGCTGCCGTTTATGTGAATGTCGTGAAGTCTCTAAAACTTCCGGTGACTGGCACGAGGGTATATCGTTTAAAACTCGCGGCCTCTCAGAGGGGGCTAGGACAGGAACCTCTGCATTTCGGCGTATCACTAGGAAAACGATCATTCTAGAAGTAATGCAGAGTCATCGATCCGCGACAAGAATGAGACGAGAGATTAACTCGATTCATACAAGTAAATAGAGGCGGAAAGCAGCGAGCTGTCACGTAGGAGACCTCTGCTTGGTAATGCACCTCAAGGCCCCTCGAATTTGTGGCAGGAAGATGCTTTCATCGGCAAGACAGACTTTCTCAAGTCCCAGCCCACAAGAAGCAGAGAAGGAGCAATAGGATCCTGGTGTTGGTGGCCGCTTCAACATGAGGATATTGCGGAATACATACAAGGCCTTCTGGGAATGACTATGGCGCATGCACTCATCGAGCATCAACAGAAGCGCGATACTGGGGGGCAATTACTTAAATTCCGCCACTGAACCAGGGCCTATCTAGGAAAATGTGCTGTTTTCTGCGGAAAGATACATCAACGATAGAGCTTCGCATCTGATGAGCGGCAGCAATTTAGTGTCAGGGGAACCACTAAGCCGCAATCACGGGTGTCCAAGGATGACATCCACGATCCATGGTTATCATAGACATTCCCGGCTGTTTGTCACTCGTCAGCTTCCAAAAAAGAGTGAAACAGCAGAGTGTGTGGCATCGTCAGCACGTTGTTTCATCAATCTGCCGCGGCCCTCCCGCGTGAAAAAGACCGCACTTCTAAGCCTTGAAGAAGATCATCATGCCATTGTCTCATTTACGACATTGACTATATGGTAATCTTCATTACGTTGTCCAGCGTGGTCTAGGATCCCATACAGAAGTGACGTCGTCCCATCAAGGACAAGAAAGTGGTCGTCATACGCCCAACATATTAAAATGTCCTGGAAGAGGCAAAAAAAAAAAGTGGCTCAGTCCACGCGGCTTGAGATGAAAGGGTCAAATAAATCTGGGAATCGATAGGTTATCTGGTGGAGCAGGAGGTAAGCTGTTCCATCCCCAGCCACTGCGTTTTCGGTGATCTGCGGAGGGCAACCCTGGGCATGTCCGAGGATTGCTTTCATCCTCTTAATTGTTATTCTCCATCGGCGCTAAATTCCCCAGCCTCGCGAAATCCGCGGTCGCTGTGAACTTTAAGGGAAAGCTATTCGAAATGGCATCAAACTAGCCACACACTTGCATGCTCGACTAGAGATAAAACGAATACTCGATGTTTCAATAATCTAACGGATTGGACATTGGAAACACTACAAGTGATCGATGGTATCTGGACTATCGATATCGATACTAGCTCTTTCTCCGATCTTCTTAGTCTCCTCCTGGACCTGACAGGAAGCACGTGTGGGTTCTCCTGATTGCTATCGCTTGGCGTTGTGATCGTCGCCCATCCTCCAGCCTAGACTGATTACTCTGGCTACCTTTCTTTTTCAACTTTCCTTCAGGCTGTATTGACTCATTTCCCTTGGATCTGAGCCTTCAAGTTCTTCAGGTGGCTCATATTATCATTGCTGTACCGTTTTACTGACATCTCCCCACCTTTGCGCAGATCTCTCGACCATATGTGACGGTCTTGAGTACAGAGTAGCCAAATCTGTCTCTCCCTATTTTTGTGTTCCCGCTTCAATGGTTGACGTGGGTAACCGTGTATTATTGGACTGAACGGGCAACTATCGACGTGGCATTCCAGCCGTTGTCCAAGTGGTGCAAACGCTTGCATACCTTTACCATTCCTGGTCATATCCCCTATCACCCAGTGACCAGTGACCAGTCAAAGCTTGAGCTCCACGATGCTCCAGGACTGTGGTCACTCATCGATGCCAGGCTCGACTGCTGTCGTCATTGACAACCTCGAACCTACCTCAATTCCAACTGCTTCTGTTGCTCAGGATAACTGCCGCCAGCCCGACGAAGATATTCAGCCCTCCCACCAGAACGCGGTGGACACTCCTCCAACACCCTCATCACAGATCACCGATACATTAACTCCATTGGCGGAGAGAAACCGTCTTACCTCTGCGCATACATCTTTCCACCGTCGGGCAAACACTGAAATTATTCGCCGGCAACCCCACCTATCGGTCAAGCAGCTCTTTGCAGACCAGCCCAAAACATTCGAAGACTTAGTCGACGGAGACAGGTCCTCGAGTCCGGCGTTGGAGAATCCTACTAGAAAGACACTCGAAGTAGGCGCGAGACTCTTGTCGGGTTGGTTTCAGGGCAAGTCGGAGCCGGTGAATCTGACCATGGTGCCCCAGTCGGCGGACCAGGATGCCCTGGGATTGGCACCCTCCGGGGCATTTTTGAATCGTGCATCAAAGCGGGCCTCTTCGCCACTCAAACAAGTTACATCGACGAATCCGTTCAACTTCTTTGCCTTCAAGCGCCCGGGAGAGGGTCGACCGGAGCTTCCCGAACCTGCAGATGATGAGATTCTCAATATGGACATAACTGCTGCCTTGTTCCCACCAGAGTCACTCGATCTCGACGGACAAGAAGCGTTCAGTGCCTTACGAACCAACGCCGATAACCTCCTTAGACGGCTGCAGGCAGCCTATAAGGAAAGGACTTTTGCCCTGCACGAAGCCTTGGCGGACAAGAACGAGAAGCAGGAAGAACTGGAAGAGACTCGAACGCGGGTTGGACACCTGAAGGTCCAGCTTGATGGTATGGCGGAGAAAGTGCTCCACCAGGAGAAGGCCATGAAGGCCATGGCCGAGGAGCTCGAGCAGGAAAGGCAACTGCGCCGGCGAGAAGACGCGCGTCGTCGCAGCGTGATGCTTGTTCGGTCGAGTGACGAAGAGAGCCTTTCCGACGTCGGGGCTGAATTGCAGACACCGAAACGCAGTCTGAAGCGAGCCAGCAATGGCACTTACACGAGTGATTCGGGCTTCGACTCTGGCGACGAGAGTCTCGCGGAAAGTATCTTCTCTCGCCGTGATGGCCTCGAATCCCCGACGCCAACGATCCCACCGTCGCCGAACATATCTCAAATTGCTTTATCTGTCCCTACGTCGACCACTATACAGCCGAGCACAAAAGAGTCGAAACTGGCTCAGGCGCCACCGGTGCGTCAGTCTACGTACGATCGCGTGCTGAAGGGACTTGCCTCTACGGGTATCACTAGTTCGTGGATGGGTCACACGTCCAAATGTAATATCTGCCATGGCGTCCCCGCCTCGGAGGCATGGGGCGTCCTCGGCGTTATCAAGGAGGAGAATAGAGGCCTGAAACTACGGCTGAGCGAGCTCGAACTGGTTGTTGATGATTGTCTTAGTCTTGTTGGATCTTGATTTTGCGCCAGACTGTGTCATGGAGTTTTGCAGCTAGGATACTCTGGATATACCACCCCTTCTATGCCGTTAAACTGGTCGATACATATTTACTACTTCAACCGAATCCCTTGATGAGGGAAACAGCACATCAAAAGTTAGCGAGCGCACTAGAACGATACCAGTCAAAGGACCCTAAGTAACGAAGTGTATGTAGTCCGAGCCGGTTAATGAGGGATTTCAAGTGAAGTGTGTGGATATCCCTCAACGTCAAGCTGAATCCATGGACTGCATAATGCATTTACAATGAGTCATCTGAATATCAGCATCGTAGTATCATCCACAATTCCTCACCATGAATTAGATGTGTGGAGTGGTATTGATGGGGAAGACCAGGTGGCCTCAACGGGGTTAGCGTGGCTGGAGACAGTAAAGTGGCCAGCGAGGCGTCTACTGTCTTGGTCTTAGTGCTCTCTGCCCCCAAACCAAACCTCCTTGACCTCACCTCTTCCCTCCTTGTGTGCAATAATTCCAGTTCCCCCCTCCCTTCTTCCTTTCTCTTCTCCTTCTTCCTAGGTAATTCTTTTTCAAAGCCTTTCGCTCCTTCAGCTGGCTTCAAAGTTCCAGCTTCATTTTGACTTTTCTTTCCTCCACCCCATAATATTGTTTTGGTGACACGGGAGGTCGATAGCCACCATGAGCGGACGTGAGTTGTCTCTGCACGCGATCGCATTCCTCGTTGCGATAGCTCTCGTTTCGGGCCAATTGATCCATATTGACTGATGTTTGACTTGTAGTTCGATTTCTTGATCTAATCAAGCCCTTCACGCCCCTCCTGCCGGAGGTGGCAGCTCCTGAGACCAAGGTGCCCTTCAACCAGAAGTTGATGTGGACGGGTGTATGTTATTGCTCATTCTGACGGAGCGCGAACGGGGAACTGAATCGCTGACTGTCTGTGGCAGTTGACGTTGTTGATCTTCTTGGTCATGAGTCAGATGCCTCTTTACGGCATTGTCTCATCTGACACCTCGGATCCCCTGTACTGGCTGCGTATGATGCTGGCCAGTAACCGTGGTACCCTGATGGAGCTGGGTATCACCCCTATTATCTCCTCCGGCATGGTTTTCCAGGTATGTTTCAGTCGGCTTGCTTCTGATGCTCGGAAACAGTCCAGCAGCTAACCAATTGGTCACTGTCATAGCTCCTCGCTGGTACCCACCTCATCGATGTCAACCTTGACCTCAAGACCGATCGCGAACTTTACCAGACCGCCCAGAAGCTTTTCGCCATCATCCTTTCCTTCGGCCAGGCTTGTGTCTACGTGCTGACTGGTCTCTATGGCCAGCCCAGTGATCTCGGTGCCGGTATCTGCGTTCTGCTGATCGTTCAGCTCGTCGTCGCTGGTCTGGTTGTCATCCTCCTGGATGAGCTGCTCCAGAAGGGATACGGTCTTGGAAGCGGTATCTCGCTTTTCATTGCCACCAACATCTGCGAGTCGATCGTCTGGAAGGCCTTCTCTCCCACTACCATCAACACTGGCCGTGGCCCCGAGTTTGAGGGTGCCATCATTGCTCTCTTCCACCTGCTCTTGACCTGGCCCGACAAGCAGCGTGCTCTGCGCGAAGCTTTCTACCGTCAGAACCTGCCTAACGTCATGAACCTGCTTGCTACTCTTCTCGTCTTCGCTGCTGTCATCTACCTGCAGGGCTTCCGTGTTGAGATCCCAGTCAAGTCCTCCCGCCAGCGTGGCATGCGTGGCTCCTACCCAGTCCGCCTGTTCTACACCTCCAACATGCCCATCATGCTGCAGTCTGCTCTGTGCTCCAACATCTTCCTCGTCAGCCAGATGCTGTACTCTCGCTTCTCCGACAACCTCCTCGTCAGACTCCTCGGTGTCTGGGAGCCACGCGATGGCTCTGCCCAGCTTCACGCTGCTTCTGGTATCGCTTACTACATGTCCCCTCCCCTCAACTTCAAGGAGGCTCTCCTTGATCCCGTTCACACGGCTGTGTACATTGCATTCATGCTGGTCGCCTGCGCTCTCTTCTCCAAGACCTGGATCGAGGTCTCTGGCTCTGCTCCTCGCGATGTCGCTAAGCAGCTGAAGGACCAGGGTCTTGTGATGGCCGGCCACCGTGAGCAGAGCATGTACAAGGAGCTCAAGAGAATCATTCCTACTGCTGCTGCTTTTGGCGGAGCCTGCATTGGTGCCCTCTCCGTCACTTCTGACCTGCTCGGCGCCCTTGGCAGCGGCACTGGTATCCTCCTTGCCGTGACGTGAGTATATTGACTGCCAATCATTGTTTTGATTCTGTAACTAACGCAATGTCTATCCAGTATCATCTACGGCTACTTTGAAATTGCTGCTCGTGAAGGCGATATCGGATCGGGCCTCAAGGGCCTTGTTCCCGGTAACTAAGCAGGGGACGCCTTGATGAGTATGAGAAAGGAATCTGAATTTTTTATCGAATTTCCTTTGATTCTTCCTCGTTGATTTCTGGGTGGATGCGCTGTTGTGGCTGGAATCTACGACGGAAATATCAGGAATTTGCATGGATGATTGTATTACTGCCAGAGTTGGGAGTTCTTGCATGCTGGGACTTTTTCCGTCAAAAAGAGAGCCACAACTGTACATAGCGTTCCATTCAGTTTGTAACCATATTTAGAAAACAAAAGATTTCAAATCACATCAGATCTGGCTACTTAGACATTTACACATTGGAGGCATGGGAAATCAGCACAGAACGGTCTGGGTTGTTGAATAGTTGGGTATATATACGAATTTATCACAATACCTCGTGCCGTGGTATATGTCCTTTTTGGCTCAATCAAGTCCTATAATCCCCATTGATAGTCACGTACTCGTGGCTAAAATCGCAGAACCAGTAAACAGCCTCTTCACCACCCAGGCCCTGCTCACCCTTCTCACCACCACCCAAGTCAACAACGATCTCCAGATCCTCCTCCTGGAGAATGACACTAGCGCGCTCCTCATCGACTTGTTCCGGCTCACCGTTGACAAGCAGCTTGAGCACGGGACTCCCATCCACAGGCTTGAAGCTGACGCTCGTACGTTCAGGGACGACTGTTCCCGGGGCTACGCCCTGTGTGTACCCGATCGCGCAGAGGATACGGCCCCAGTTGGCGTCGCGGCCGTAGAGGGCGGTCTTGACGAGCGGGGACCGGGCGATGGTGGAGGCGATGAGACGGGCGGACTCGTAGTCTGGGGAGTTCTGGACGCGTACGGTGACGAACTTGGTGGCGCCTTCGCCGTCGCGGACGACGAGCTGCGAGAGCGACTGCGCGAACGAGGTGAGGATGTCCTGCATGGCGGTGTAGTCGTCCGAGGCGGGGGAGCTGATGGGGGCGCCGCCGGCGGCGCCGTTGGCGAGAATGGCGACCGTGTCGTTTGTGCTTGTGTCGCCGTCGACGGAGATGGAGTTGAAGGAGCGCGAGACGGCGTGCATCAGGAGGGACTGCAGGGCGGAGGGGTCGATGGGGGCGTCGGTGCAGAGGACGCCGAGGAGGGTGGCCATGTTCGGGTGGATCATGCCGGCGCCTTTGGTCATGCCGGCGAGGCTGTAGGTGCGGCCGGGGGACGAGGGGAGGGTGAAGGTTCGCGAGAGCAGCTTGGGGAAGGTGTCTGTTGTGCAGATGGCGCGGGCGGTGGTGAGCCAGGCGTCGTGGGTGGATGCGAGGCTTTCGTGTGCCGTGGGGATTTTGTTAAGGATCTTGGAGATGGGGAGTCTGGCAGGGCATGGCTAGTCAGATTTTCATGGTCTTTTGCAAAGTCGGGGAGCGTGGAAGAGGAATGTACCGTTGCCCAATGACGCCAGTGCTCATGACGATCGTGCTGGGCTCGCTGAGTCCGTTGCACTCGTCCACCTTCTTGCCCATGTTCACTGCATCCTCCAGGCCTCCCTTACCGGTGACCGCATTGGCGCAGCCCGAGTTGATAACCACCGATCGAATGCCTTGTCCCTGGCGGCTCTGAAGCGTCTTCTTGCTGACTTGGACAGGCGCCGCTTGGAACTTGTTGGTAGTGAAAACCGCAGCAGCCGAGCATGGGGTTTCGGAAGAGATCAATGCCAGATCCGGAAACTTGGTGTTGGAGGCCTTAACACCGACGTGGGTACCGGAGACGAGGAATCCCTTTGGATAGGATCCAGAAGACGGAATGTACTTCTGCTTGGAAGCGGGAATGGCCATGTCCAGCGGAGCAGAGTAGTTGCGCACTTGGCCCTTCACCATCCTGGCGAAAGCAGCCATTGCGGCTGCGGGCTGGACCGGAGAAACCATGAATATCTTCAAATATCCCTGAAAAGATCAGCAGCAGTACTAGAAAGCGCAACTCCACTCAATTGCTGTTTCAATCGGAGTATGGTAGACGATGCGGGAAGATATAGTATCGACACCGAAAGTGACTCACAAGTGACTCGGGCAATTGAACGTAAAAGTTGGGCGTGTCCAGCTAATATCGACCCCAACGCTGAGATAGATAACAGAAGCAATCACTGTCAAGCTTCTGAATAGGCCAGAAACCCTAGCCCAGCAGTAGATCGTGGGATAATTCCCTCTCTGAACCCCGTTGATGTTGGAGATCCGATATCGCGGGAGTCGGAGAAACAGTCCCCGCTGGCTTCGTTTTGTCGCGCTCCAGACGCGCCCAAAGGCACAGAACTCGTTATTCAAGCTCAACATACGTAGCTCTCCATCCGCGGCCAACCCCTTGCTTCCCGGCCTTTTGTTCTCCCCTTCTCGAATCGATCGAAGCTATTTGTTGCGCGTGAATGGTACTTGATCTCCGGTTGTCTTTTGCTGGCGATGTTGTGATTGGCACATTCTTACTAAAATGAAACGAAAGCAACCAGATTCGGACGATGGCGAGCGTCCTGTCTCGACGCCGAAGAGGCAGAGAACAACTGCGGTGATCAATGGCTCTACAAATAGAAATACGGACGCGGATCGATCCCTCGACATGACGCCCTCGAAACGGATCAAATCAACACCGCAAAAACCAAGCTCAGCAACTCCCGCAGCACTGAAGGAATCGGGCCTGAAAACTCCTACGCATAGATCAAAGGCGAAAGCTCTCTTCTCAACACCTACAAAAGCGACGGCTGTTTCTACGCCAAACCGAGCACGAAATGCCGACCGATCTGCGAAGAAGAAAAGCGCTCGCTTGTTGCTGGAGCAGGATGAGGATGAGATCTGGGACGGGGCTGACCGTTTAGCCGAGGAGATTCTGGAAGACGAGGGCGACGCGCCTGAGACCGCTGTAGAGGATAGCGACGGTGTCATCCCAACAGTTGAAGGCACCACGAAAGAGGCAACCGATGGCAAGACTGCAGCGGCGCCGAAACGTCGTGCAGGGAGGCCGAAAGGCGCAAAAAACAAGCGCTCACCTACTCCCGAGGGAGAACTGCCGTCACACGAGCGATATTTCTTCCAGAACAGAGCTGGCCCTCCGCGGACGTCAAATAACACCCTCAACAAAGTGAATCTCCTGATGCACGAGGAGTATTTTGAGAAGTTGGCCGGATATACGGACCCTTGCCAGAAGGAGAAGAACTTCCTGCTGGACCTGCATTGTCGTTCCTTTCCGCAGTGGGATTTTGAGTTCAATCAAGGCTTCAACATCTGTCTCTACGGTTACGGCTCGAAGCGTCAGCTGCTTAATGATTTTGCAGACTGGCTTCACCAGAGACACAGCGCCTCACCTCCCTCTATAGTCGTCGTGAACGGGCATACTCCGAACCTGTCAATTCGGTCTATCTTCGCCACCATTGTGACCGCTGTCCTGGGTGCAGACATTCCATCGAAGATGGGGTCTCAGCCACTAGAGGTATTAGAACTGTTGCAGTCTAGTCTCAAGTCTCGACCCTCCCAGAAACCAATCACAGTACTGATCAATGCCATCGACGCCCCTCCCCTCCGCCGAGCAACGAACCAAGCCCTCCTTGCGCGACTGGCTGCGACGCCAAAGATCCATTTACTTGCCACGGCAGACACTCCGAATTTTCTGTTGATGTGGGATATCAGCCTTCGAGATCAGTTCAATTTTGTTTTTCACGACTGCACAACATTTGCCTCTTTTGAAAGTGAGTTTGATGTTGTGGAAGAGGTTAACAACCTGCTTGGGCGCAAGGGCCGTCGAATTGGTGGTAAAGATGGTGTTGGCTTCGTGCTGAAGAGTCTTCCGGAGAACGCGCGGAATCTCTATCGACTGCTTCTCACTGAACTGCTATGTATGATGGACGAAGGTCATAATTCGGATGACGAGATGGACGGCCATGCAGGAAGAGAAGACGGGGCTCACGATGAGACGGGCATTGAGTTCCGAATGCTCTACCAGAAGGCTGCCGAGGAGTTTATTGCGTCTTCTGAAATGATGTTCCGAACACTATTGAAAGAATTCCATGACCATCAGATGATCACATCGCGCATGGACACGAGCGGAATGGAAATACTAGGAGTACCGCTGTCGCGAGAAGAAATGGAAGGGGTTCTGGAAGATCTGGTATTGGGGTGATGGATGAGACAAGATATAATGTGGTGTCTTTGCATAACTCATGATACCCCTGCATAGCACTGTATATCACAATTGAGGGACATAACTGATGAAGCCCATTTCGAAGGCTCTGCTCAAACACCAAGTCGTCCACTTTTCTCTTCCTGAGTATTCTACACAACGCGAGTTCGGTCAAGAAAACCTCGGTCGTCCGATATGTCTGTTCTTGCACCTAGAACTGCGCAAACGCAGCCAGTGCCATCGTGGCCCCAAAACTTATCTTGAACGGCATATGCTGCGTCACAGCCTTCTGTACATCCACCGACTTGACATACTTCTGTATCGTCCGAACAGGGAGGATATTGTATCCTTTCGAAGCAGCCCACTACACCCCACCCGCAGTCAGCACCATCTACAACCACGAGCAACACAACGTCTGTAGGATCCGCATACCTCAACGAGGACAATCCCCATCCCCAGCAGCACAACCAACGCTCGCGAGAACGCCCTCAATCCCACCCCCACTACAAGCCCAAGCACACTCCCCAAGCTCACCTGGCGCATATTGGAAGCGGTCAGAATACCGGATGCCGTGCGGGGGCCGGTCCGGCCCTGCTTGGCGATGGCCGGGTCATTGCGGTCGAGAGTCCAGCCGGATTCTGAGCTGGTTTGTGAGTCGAGTCTGTAGTATGGAGCGGAGTATTGGCATTGCATTGGGGAAGCACGCAATGGGGACAGGGGGTGTATAGACAAGGACAGGCCGAAACCGACGCCGAGGACGGTGGAGGTTCGAGCGAAACCGCTTAGAAGACCGGATGCCATGTTTCGGTATCTGAGGTGACGACCAAGTTGTGGTTGTAAACAGATTGATGGTGTAAATGTGTATAGAGAAGAAGTTGAATTGGGGAGTCACGATCCTCGTTGAATGAAGCTGGAGTGTTCGCGTCGGCATGCGGAGATGGAGAGACATTGTTGTGACGTCAATGGGCGGTCAGCTTCTGGCCAACGGCATTCGGGGATGCGGCGATCTCTAGACATCCAGGGGTTCATGCTCATTCTTGTCTATCTGAGTAGCAGTATTACATCAATTCCATGATCAAAAAGGGTGTCAATGTGAGATGCCATGTTCAAGTAGTAATATGGACGACATGAGCTGTTAACTGATGGGATATACTGTCCGCCTCCAAGGGCAAGGTAGCTACATGCAACGAACGTAATGTGCATATCTCGCTAAGCACTCAATCCACCCTCACTTAGAACCGACTATGAAGCCCGAGAGACAAAGCTTCAGTCCTCTGGATCATGGTCGTCTCATATTATTCTCATCATGCACCTGATAATCGTATCCGATGAAGGATTACTAAGGTAATATACGCAGCTTGGCAGTTAGTTCGAGACCCTGATATTACCAAAAATACCATAAGAGATAGAGTTTTCGCAAAAGCCAATGCTTGGCGTTTCCAGCTGTTCCTGACGGTTTCAGGCCAAGTCCGCGGGAAACCGTCCACCAAGCGGCGTTTTTTCAGATTGGCAGATTTACATTGGAAACTTACTGGGGAGATGGAGGGGCACGGGCACGGTGATTGGCCTACTATGCCGCGGCCGGATGGAACGAGCACATAATTCGGCGGGGACCAGTGAAAGTGTGGGTGACGGATACGGGAGTTTTGTGGTTCTCGGAGGCGACAAGGCAACGGTCAGAAGCCTACTTATCTTGACTCACACTCACAAGTCCGTCTTCGGTCTCCTTAAGAACTCGGTTTTGCTGGGACTTTTTCTCTCTCTCCTTTCTACTGTTTCTCGTATATATTTCTCATTAATTCCTTCATTTCTCTTAGTGCCTCTTTTCCCTTCTAAATAAACACAATGGCATCCAACGGTACCAATGGCGCCTCCGCCTCCAACAGCTTCACTGTCAAGGCCGGTTTGGCTCAGATGCTGAAGGGTGGTGTGATTATGGACGTCGTCAACGCAGAACAGGTATGAGCGATGGTCAACAGGATACTTTCCAGCCCTTCGACGCTAATGTGACTTCCAAACAGGCCCGCATTGCGGAGGAGGCCGGTGCCGCTGCCGTGATGGCCCTGGAGAGAGTCCCCGCCGACATCAGAGCCCAGGGTGGCGTTGCCCGCATGTCTGACCCCAGCATGATCAAGGAGATCATGGCTGCTGTCACCATTCCTGTCATGGCAAAGGCTCGCATCGGACACTTCGTTGAGTGCCAGGTAAGGCTAGCTTTCTCCCGTGGTCAACCTGCATCGCAGCTGACATGTGTAATTGTTAGATCCTCGAAGCCATTGGCGTTGACTACATCGACGAGTCCGAAGTCCTTACCCCTGCCGACGATGTCTACCACGTGAAGAAGCACGACTACAAGGTTCCTTTCGTCTGTGGTTGCCGCAACCTGGGCGAGGCCCTCCGTCGTATCGCCGAGGGTGCCGCTATGATCCGTACTAAGGGCGAGGCCGGTACCGGAGACGTTGTTGAAGCCGTCAAGCACATGCGGACGGTCAACTCCCAGATCGCCCGGGCCCGTGCTATCCTGCAGAACTCTACCGACCCCGAGATTGAGCTGCGCGCCTACGCTCGTGAGCTTGAGGTCCCTTATGAGCTTCTGCGTGAGACCGCCGAGAAAGGCCGTCTTCCCGTTGTCAACTTCGCGGCTGGCGGTGTTGCTACTCCCGCTGATGCCGCACTCATGATGCAGCTGGGCTGCGATGGAGTGTTCGTCGGTTCCGGCATCTTCAAGTCTGGTGATGCGAAGAAGCGCGCCAAGGCTATTGTCCAGGCCGTGACTCACTACAAAGACCCCAAGGTCCTCGCCGAAGTCAGCGAGGGTCTGGGTGAGGCCATGGTTGGTATCAATGTCTCTCAGATGCCTGAGGCCGACCGATTGGCCAAGAGAGGATGGTAATTGCGCTACTGTCTCTACTTGTGATTCTTCTTATGTTCTTGTCATGATATGGGCGTTGGAAAAGTTGATATAGCGTTCTTTGATGCATTTTGCATTCAAGACTTTCAGGTACATTATGGTTAGGGTGTTCTGTGCATTCGTCCTTACTCATGTAGACAAGCACAGAATTGATGAAGACCTACTCTAATTCAATGACGATCTCTTCCATGAAGACAAAAACTGAAAATTGGCCAGGTCACTGTTCACTGCACACGGCATTTTATCCTTACCCCACCGGCACTTGTTATCATGCGGATGCTGCTACTGGAGGTGCTAATCTGCTTGAAGACACGGCGAATAGTATCACCAACGTAATATACTCATTCTGCAAAGATACTTTATTCCTGTGATTCGATTCTGAATTCCGAGATCACTATCAATTGACGGCACTTGTGCTGGGTGTCCTAGATAAATGTCAAGGTACAGATCCTACGGAGTACGATCGGCGACTCCAAAGGTCACACCGGTAAAATACACCTGTTTATTTCAAACGCAGAAATTGAATACCACACTGACAGTACGATAAGACGATCTAACCCAAAATAGGAAATCCTATCGGACCTCAGCTCAATGCCATCATCGACACGATCGACATCAAAGCCGTGAAATGAAAGACAAGAGCCCTCGACGGACGAAATATTCACCATGACGGACCCAATGGATCTCCTATCTCGACCAGATTCCCAATTCGATCACGAGGAGAACCTCAAGTCACAGAAGCAGGAAAAACAGCCCAAGCACGAACAGCTGGAGAACGGGAAGCAAGAGCATGCAGCCTCAGCTCCAACGCCAAAACCACACAATCTTTTACCGAATACCTTCACAATAAGCGGGGAACACGAGGGCAACGATATGAATCCGATCATTTCGTCCGTTCTCGTCGTCCTCTCCTCCATCCTCTCCTTCCTCGACACGTACATCCTCCCTCCCCATCTCCGCGCTGCGATCCTCGAGACTGCGCTCGCACATCCGCTGCTCACGACCTTCTTCCTCTGCCAGTTTATCTGCTCGTGTATCCCGGTCATGATCTTTCTGATTGGGGCTATGATTGCGGGTGGTATAGCGGTGGTGGTGTTTAGCTGTTTTGCGCTATTGGTACTGGGGCCTGTCCTGGTTGCGACGACCGTCGCGGGTCTGTTCCTGTGGGGTTGGGGTTGGACGACGTTTGTGGTTGGGAGGTGGTTGTTGAGGCGGTATTTGACCGAAGATGGGGACGGAGAGAAGGGTCGTGCACGGGATGGGGTGAATGGTTTCAATAAGTACGATGCGGAGAAAGTGAAGGAGGAATGGGCTTGAATATCATATGTCTTAGAGCGCAGGGCTGTTTGTTTCACGGCTTACTGCTGCTCAAGCTATTGTATGCTTCTTAATGCTGGATACAACTAGAGTTGGCTAATGCGCGCTAGATAATTGGAATCCATGATTACCACCATGTCATTGAATCCAGCAGTCGCAGCCATCACAGCTTCTGACTTTCTGCCCACTCCACCCATCGTCTGATACACTCATCCACCCGTTTCAACGCTTGTTTCTCCGCTGAAACCTCGAACCACTCCCGGTGCTCTTTCCCACACTCCTGACATCGTCCAAGGTCCCGGACCCTGACCTCTCCCAGCTCAAGGTGAATCAGTCGTTCCACGCGATGGACATGGGGCACTTTCCTCCCCGGCTCTAAAGCGGCCGAGCTATTCCCTCGATTACCTCCAGACTGCAATCGTACCGGCGACGGCGATGGCGAGGGCGTCGATGGTGTATATGGGTAGTAACGGATCAGAGTCAGATGATGCGAACACTGTCTCGACCATTCATTCAGTCGGCGCTGCACGTTACTCGTCCGGCCAATCTTCAGGCGGATAGTACCAGATGCCTGACCAGTCGGTTTGGAGGTTAGGGCATTCATCTCGCGCGCAGTCTTGAGTGCGTCGCTGACGCGGCGACCGTGCCCAGGTCTAGGAGCTTCCGGAACGAGCGATCTGGCGACTTCAGCGGGAGGCGGCGATGACGTGGAGCTTGACGGCGTCACCCAGAACATGTATATGTAGCCCGGTTCGTCCGCTTCGGAGATGGGCTTCGCCAACTCCGTGAGCAGATTAGATGTTGTTTGCGGGGTTAGTGTGGGGGGGATCCATGCGAGAAGGGTCGTTGTGTGTGATGAGGAAGACGCCGGGCTACTTTGCAGCGATGGTCGGTGAGATGCGTGCTGAGGCGAGAGTAATGTCGACTGTGAGGATGGTTTCTGGGCCGGCGGCTTCGGTCGTCCTGGATAAGAACTGGACGAGACCTGCTGCATCGGCCGCGACGGACGAGCGTCTGCCGTCGCGCTCACTGTCACAGGCCTCGGAGGCCGCTCGTTCTCGAGGTCTTCGATGATCTCGAAACAACAACATACCGTTCGCTTTTTTGGCTTGCGGCGTCGGTACGGCGCCGGTTTCGCTTGTGGGTCGTTGATCTCCAGAACGCCCAGCCGGTCCATCAAAGTGTCAATGCTTGTTCGCGGCTTCGGCCGTGGGTTTTGTGGGGGGCGTGTTGATCCCGGGTTATTCGACGCTGTTGCTTGATCTTTGTGCTGCCAGCAGTACATGGAAGCCGAAGCTGTGTCTTTTCGCGGTCCTGTAGAGGCAGCTAGTGCACGGCGACATGGTCGGCCGTTTGAGGTCACACCTCTGCATGTCGTGGCTGGATCTAGTGAATCCGAGCGAGACAGCATGGACTCGGGTGTGTTTGCGATATGAGGCATGCTGTATTATTATCGCTGTTCTCTTCTTTCGTAGACACAGCGATGCCTCGAGAAGTATGAAATGAAATGTTTGTTCATAAACACAGACGACTAAGCGCCCATCCACTTATTGTTTCGAGTGTCTTATTCCCACTCGATCAGCCGGGAAGTGCCACTTGGTCGAACGGATCAGGCCGATGAAGTTTGGGATAGTTAATTGTCTCAGGAAAGTACCTATGAAACGCGGACGAATCAATTTGTTTAGCGGCCTAGTTATCTACGAGTAACTGCTAACAGCCTAACAAGCTAAGACATGTCTTTGCACCGCCCCAGTGGCTGGAGTCTGCGCCGCGCCCTCCATATCGACCCACATGAGGAGAAACAACAAATGCAATCACCAATGCCAGCAGAGTGAGTGGAATTTGTGGGTGTTTGGCTGTTCCACTGTAGATACAAAGTGGTGCGGTATCCACGAATCCCATAGCCACAGCAAGAGCAACGAGCCACTTGTCGATGGATCCCTTACCGTCCTAGTTACCATAATTAGAAACTCGTCTACCAACGACAAAGATCAAACAAGCCTCACTTGAATCGAATGCTTGACAGACAAGTCGTGAGTAGAGTTACTGAGGCGACGTTGTTCCTTAAAGGACTTTGACCACGTACGCACACAGATTGTCATTAACCAATGTAATCAAAGCCTGCTCCACGACACTTGATCCAAAAGCCACGTGCTAGCTGGTTCGTGTGGGCTCTGATACCTCTAGCGGCTATAAGAGATGAAACCAACCGCTCTTTCTCCTGCGGAGAAACATGGCCCTGCCCTTCATGGGAGACATCGATATCCACGGAGGAAAGAGCCGTTGAAAGATGGAGGCGAGCTTGGCCTTGGTGTCTAAAGATAACTTTTCTGAGAACATCGCAGAGGTGCTCGATATCTGAGCGAGCGCAGCGGCCCGCAAGTTGGAGGATCAGAACGCGACAAAGTGACGGCAGATACTCATTGATGACAACCTGGACGGGGTCTGTCTCGCTGGGGTTGGTCGGCAGACTCAATACGCTCACCCAGAACTGCGAGGCAGAGCGGAGAGGAAGTGGTTCCGGACCTTGCAAGGACTGTAGAGTAAAGTCTAAAATCGTCTGTAGCACGGAACGCCGCGATGCACTGCTTTCGCCGGACGGTGGCGGCGCAGATGTAAGCGCGAAGAGGACGGAGTGGTACTTCGGGACCAGCCGAGTGAGGAAATCAATGCCACTGTTTGCAACTTCGGGGTCGTAAAATCCTGGCATCTCCTGCATCCGACAGATGCTTTCGTACACGTGGACAATCAAAGCGACGGTCTCCTCGCGGATACGCTCTGGATGTGCACTGTGAGACGCTAAAAAAGCAGAGGCAGTACCCATCACCATATCTGTACCCGCGCTGCCCAAAGGAATGCTTTTGACGAAACTGACGGTCACCATCGGCGGGAACACATAAGGACCTGCTTTCTCAGTGAAGCCAGCCTTCAGTATATCACAGGCAGCCTCAATCGTGCTCGCATCCCTGGGAACTTCGGTCATTAGGAGCTGCATAGATTGAATAATCAAGCTCTGAGCAGTTGCGCCCCGACCGGAATTCCAAAAGGTAAGCAAGTGGGAGTCGCCATTGCCGCTGTCGCTAGACTCCAGAACGATTTCGTTATCTGTCCTGAGACCTTTACCAATACTTGCGATGCAGCGTAACACTAACAGAGAGCGGCTGTACGCGGCATCAGACAAATCACTCGCGGCCTCATCCCGTGCCACTATTGCCTGTTGACGGAGATAACCCAGGATCCTCTCAAGAAACTGTGCTTTGTCGTCATCCGTAGGCAACGCTTGAATGATGGCAGCGATTCCCTCAAGAACTTTCTCCATCGTCATGACTGTGGCGGTCGGTTTGTGACGAAATTGGTCGAACTGATCCAGGAATGCGGGGAGCTGAGAAGCCAGAGCATTACGACACGATCTGCAGAGATGAGCGATAGACTTGGAAGCAGTTGGCGCACAAGATGCGACGTCAAGAGACGCGAACAGAAAAGTAAGCACCAGTGGGAGCAGAGCATGGGTACGCTCAAAGTAAGACTGGTATCTTCCTAGCATATCCACTAGGGTTTGGCGAGCTTTGTCTGGGATCGATATTCCTTCACCCCTGCAGAGATGAGCGAACTCGTCGCAAAAAAAGATCGCGTTCAAACAGTCATCCGCATGCTGGTTGTCATCCACGGCCTCTGAAAGCTGAGCAATACAGAAGATTGCGGCCTCAAACGTTCTCCAATCTCGTTCTGCCAGAGAAGTCCTTGTGTGTTCTTGAAATACTCGAACTAGATCCACACCCAGAATGGGATAGACGGCCAGAATAAAGTCGCAAGCGTCACGGCGAAACGAACTGAATTCACTGCGATCATCATCTCTCCACTCTTGCAGCTCCTCTGGAGTCGGATACTTGAGTTTCTCAAAGCAGTCCAGAGCAGCACGGGCGAGATTTTGCTTGGCAGGCTCAAAGTTAGATTGGCCATCTGAATCAGCGATAATCTCCTGGAAATCGTCGGCGACTTCAGTCCACCACTCGATGGCAAGTGGCGACGCCAAGTCATCCACTGCAGCATAGCCGGGGGCTTTCAACAAGGCGTGAAGTAAGCTAAGAATCTGATTGTATTGAGGGTTCAAAGGTTCAGTCAAAATTTCTCTCTGCTTGAGAGTCGAGAAGGCCAGTAGGAGCTCCAAAAAGGTCATATTCTCGGCTTCGAAATCGCCATCCAGAAGCGACTTAATATGGGCGGTACCAAAATCACTTATAATGAACGCCAGGACAGCATTGAGGTGATCTTGACCAAGAATATTATCCCTCCAATCCATCATTTCGACAACAACCTGAGCTGCAGTTTTCGACAACCCAGGAACTTTTAGACATTGGACGACATGGTTTGTGGCTGAAGTTAGCTGGGAGGCTGAAATCGTGTCTCGAAACAAGCTTCCACCTTGCACGGACATCCATGACTAGAACATAAGTGTCAGATAGTCACGAAGATAGATGATGAAGAATGCAAGCCCAAGGCGAACTTACGCTGTACGCGTTGAGAGCTTCAATGCCGGGAGCAGGGTCATAGGAGTCCTGGGAAGCTTCCTGCATGAGAAAGTGATGCAGAACAAATTCCACAACAACGAATGCATCCTGAATATTTTCAGCCGCGCGCCGAATATCGACCCCTTCGCGGAACTCAGGACTCCATTTATTGATGTCTTCTCCCAATACGTTGCAAAAATAGAGCAATGCAACGATCTGAGCTTGAGACATTGCCGGCAAGATAGAATTAAGCAAATCGACAGACCGAGCTTGGTTCTCAGGGACATACTTGCTGCCTGCTAAGGAAGCAGCTATGTTCCAGATAGCCCGAGTCCAAGGAGCACCCGGCTTCAGGAAGATGGTTGCCAGGGTTGTAGCCAGCTTTCGAATGACGAGAGGCCGCTCGCCTGAGTTGACAAGCACAGCATAGTGGCCAACCAACCGGCCAAGAAGCTCTTCAACATCATGCTGGTTGAGTTTCTGCCTGTGACAATGTCAGATAGCTGAACTCCACAGACATTTCCATTAGTCACGTACCAGTCAAGGTTGATTTTGACAGTGAAAGTCAAGGCACCAAAAAATCTCATATCAGTGCTATTAGCACTGAGCAGATCATTGGCAATTAACCATGCCTCCGGACCTTTCTGAAGTGATTGCAAACGCTCCTGAATAAATTTGATCTCAGCGGCATTGCCAGCATTTTCTGGACTGTACAATTGAGAGACAAGCTTGACAGGTCAGTGTTAAAATCGTGAAAGGATCAAGGACTACACTCACCTCTCTTGCCTCGTTCAAGATGTGCTGCACATCTGGAGCAAGGCCTTGAATGTCCGCAGACATGACCAGAACTCTGATGGCCCTCTTAAGAGAGCTGGGTTCTGGTATAGATTGTTTGACGATATGATGAAGGAGAGTCACGTGTTGATACCACTATCACAAAAATGTTAGGCGGTGAGAAGGTGGGATGGATGGAGGGGAAAGCAATCAGAGGGGAAAATGGCTGTGTTTGTGGGCTTTCAGGAGGGGTAGGGAGATAGTCTACGTAAAGAAAACAGTGAATGTTCCGAGCATGTGACCTGAATGATTATTTCCAAGGTGTCAAGGCTCAGAACCCTACTCCTTACCTACCTTATTACAAGTGTTAGCTGCTAATGTTTCTATCCGGCCGCGGTGGGATATCAGATAGCACCACCTTGGTACTAGTTATACAGAAACATGCTCCGTATCTAGTCTCCTTGCCTGATGGGCCCGAAGGTACGCATTCCAGATGACGGAATTAATGGTCTTTGGATAATTGGATCATTAGGGTAACTCTACGGACCTACTGACCCTTACTGCCTGGTACCCGGTACTTATAGGTGGTTTGGGTTGCTCCCAGAAGTGTTGTAAAATTACAGGAGTATTGTAATTTGCAAACAACATAAGAGCTCAGTACTACCTTAGTTAAGGTACGGAGTTCCACATCCGCAGTTGGAAGCGGAATACCACCTTATTACGAACTACGGTGCACAGTCTCCAATCTCCAGCCTATCTCAAAACTCCACTACTCTAGCTAGCTTATCTTGCTGGCCACATATTTCGTTCTCATTGTCAGTTAAGTACTGTTGGCCCGTGTACAGTGTACACGCGACTCTAAAAATTGCATACAGTCTCACAACCTTTCCCTTCCCCCCTGAACCCCCGCATCTCTGTACAACATTTAGTGTCGTGCGTCATCCGGATCGCTTCTGAGAATCTCGGGCAACTGAATTTTGACCTTCCTGACCTTTGCCTGTCGATGCTCGGTTTCCGCTCTCCAATTCGCCTTTGCAAGCTACCAGCTCTTGGATCAGCCCGTCTACTACCCATCTCTCGACCAAAGCTTTTCTCCACCGCTGTCGCACGCTACGCCGCCGATATGGAGACCGTGAATACCACCGAGCGCCTAGCGAGG